ATACCTTGAATAAAACTTTGTTGGTCTTAAAGGTGCATTGTATTTTTCCCATGTGATTGAGGCAGCTCAGCAAAGGGGAGGAAGGGAGGGGCCTCAACCAATGGAAGGGAAGACAGCCTTGCCTTTGTCTCCAGGATTTAGGGATCCTGGCCAGAAAACAAGCTCTGACTTGTTCCAGGGGGAGGGGGAGGAGACTCAACCAGTGCAGAGAACAGAGGCCTATATATCTCTCACGTGCGATTAAGAGAGACTGGGAAAGCAAGCTGCAATGCAGTAGTAGCAGAATTGGAGAAGGAAGCGGGAGAGAGCCAGTTGCTCAAGGGCTAGATAGCAGCCCTGTGGAGGCCGGATCCAGCCCAAGGGCCACATGTTTGACACCCCTGCCATTGAGTCTGGGCTGGTGGGAGAAAAAAAGAGGTCAGAGACAACATGACACATCAGTGTCATATCAGTCTAAAAACCCTAGCAACAGGTTTTCAGAGGTATGATGACCCAGAACATGGAGGTTCCATTTATTCATGATGGCTAATTGCTGTGCCCTGATTTGTCTACATATCCGAGTCACTTTGAGTTCTCGAAAAGAAGGAATTTGAGATAGGACTATTTTAATTTATTATTAGCATTATTAGCATTTATATTCCGCCCATCCCATGGGCGGGCTCAGGGTGGGTATCTGACAGTTCCCTTCCCTTTTTAAATCCATCAGTTTCCAAGACTGACTTCTCAAAAATGGCGGTAAAATTAAACAATTCCCTACCTTGCTTGACCTTTCCTTACCTGGTTATCCTAAAAAAGTTATCTAGTAAAAAACTTTTTAATCCTATAACACTTCTTGGGCCCATTCACACGGCGAATTTGCCGCGGGAAAGCCACGGGTGCCGAGGAATGCTTGATGAAGTTCTTACTGGCTGATACTTATGATTCTGTCACAAGCAATGTTGCTAAATATTGTTACCTGGCAATTAAAAAGCGCAATGTACTGTAACTCAAGCCATTAATGATGGAATTGACCGGTGTGGTATTTTAGGAATCAAGCTTGTAAGGTTCTTATGTTGTGGACTCTGTGTTTAATATTTTGGTTCATTCTGCTGGTCTTATGACTGTTCTTAATAAACTATTACTTACTGCCACGGGTGGTGGGCGGATTATCCATGCGCGATCACACCCCAACATCTGGGAAGTGGAGCGCACCCGTGGCCAACCCGTGGCTTACCGCTGAAAACGTGCAATAAGAAATAGTACCTCCAAAGTACTGGCAAACGGTTTGCCACGGGTTGCCTCTGGATGCCTGCAGTGTGATTGCGCTGGCACGTAGCTTTCTCCTCCGGCCCCTCGTTTACACGCCGGCGCCGAGGGAAGAACCCATGGTGTGCCGCCGGCGCGTCTGATCGTATAATCGCAATTTGCCACGCCTCCCCCCCGCGATATCTGGCCCGTGTCACCGGGGCCTTGTAATGGTTTCTGTCCTGATGATTCAAGGTCACCAAAGACAACAGACATTTTCACATGAATGTTACATTGCATTCACAATTCCTGGGAAAGTTATGACGCTTCCTCGCTCAGACACATTGGCTGCAGTCACACACACACTAAATAATCCACTTTCAGTGCACTTTCCAACTGGATTTTTACTGTGTGAATGGGCAAAATCCAGTTGGAAAGTGCACTGAAAGTGGATTATTTAGTGTGTGTGTGACCACAGCCATTGTCTCACTATAACTATCACAACATTGTTCTAGGAGCAATCACATCATGCTCCAAAGGGTATATCCAGCCACACTCTTAGTTTATGTGTGTTTGGATGTCCACCAACTTATACCCCCAATGTGAGGTTGGGTACACTTCCTTCCTTGAGTGGAATGCTGGTTTGTTTCACTCGTCCTTCTCCTCAGATCTCTGTTTCTTTGGATAGGTAAATATAGTCCCATAAAAATAAGTTCCCTTCTCTGTCTCTATAAGGTACCACCTTTATTTTCTGAACTTGCATGTGTGTTTATAGAGTGCTCTTCAGTTAATAAGTTTTGTTTGTATTCTTTAATTCTCTTTAATAAAAACCATTTTATTTATCATGGCCTGGTTCATTTTGAGAGTTCTACTTGTCGGAAAATTTGGTAAAAATAGTTAGATATTCAGAGTTTGCAATGGATCTCTGTTCACTGGAGAGGAGGCATTTTCTTTCCATGTAAAAATCTTTATTTATAAAGGGGAGGGTACACAGGAAATCCACAAAACAACAAGCAGACTTAAGACTACATCTTACTAGAAAGAAATCATCTGAATGCATTAACCAATAATTGTTAGTAAATAGGCTTCAGTTTCCCGGGCTTTCTTCCCATTGGCTTTGTGCCAGGTTCCCTTCTAGGTCAGTTTAAACAATAGCACACAAAGTAAGCACACATTAACCCTATAATGACTGAATTTAGACCTTGCAACACACCTATTTCCAACACTACTGAGGGAAAACTCCCAGTATACATCGGTGGAGATCCTGCTTGATTAGGCTCTTCTCTAATGTTTGGGTTTCCTTGTTAAATCCCCCCCCCCAAATACTCAGGATACCCTCACAACCACTTAGGGTAACAAATTCTAATGACATTCCCCCCACAAATTAAATTGCCAACCTGGCCAAAAAAAATCTGCTCTCTTGTGGTTGCTCAAAGGGGCTAGTAATGGCTTGAGGTGCAAGTCTCAAACATCTGCAAGAGGATATTTTTTAGAACCTTATACACAATTGGGGGGGGAAATGCAACAGTAACCTTTGACGCATTTAATGAAGCCTAACACATAAAAGCCCCACAAAGCACAGAAAACGCAAAGAGTGGTTTAGCTGATACAAATAATGATCTCTTCAATTAAATATGACCTTTCCTTAGCTTTGTTTTCTCTGATTTATTAAGAAACATTCAATCTAGGGTTGCCCACTGCTTGAAGGGAAAAACATGCTGTCCCTTTAACACAGGCATTATGGGATGTTACTTATCACTTCAGACACCCATTTCCACACACTAAGCCTCTGGAAAAAGGCAGGATATTTTCCCCCCTTGATGCCTATTAAGAATCCTAATGAAATACTTTTCCAAATTAAGCAAGAGAGAAAGGGAGATGGAAGGAAAATCTTCCCACTCTGCTCCATAAAGGCAAAAATCTCCAAGGAGGAATTCAAGGGGGGCTCGGAGGAGTCAGAGGTTGGGACAAGCCTTGGCCCAAGGGTTAGTCCAGGTCATTTCTGGCTCATGGAGTCCGGGGAGGGGGGGTCAGACTAAGAGGAGGGAATCGTACTTCTTCTTCCTGATTCTCTCTGGAAGAAGATGGAGGTGGGTGGGGAGCACAGCCAGGATTCGGGAATTCATGTCCGAATATGTTCACCATCAACTCCACGGATACTGGACAATTTGCCCAATACTGGATGTTGTTATTGAGGGGTCTGACCCCTAAGAACCTACTGAGTTGCTGAGTTGGGGGACAGAAACTTTTCTTTTCAACCCAAAGGAATCCTACTGCTAGAACACTTCGGGCTTCAAAGTGGGTAGAGCCAATCTGGTGTAGTGGTTAAGTGCGCGGACTCTAATCTGGGAGAACCAGGTTTGATTCCCCACTCCTCCACTTGTACCTGCTGGATGACCTTGGGCAGGTCATAGTTCTGGCACAGCTGTTCTTGAAAAAGAGCAGTTTCTGTCAAGAGCTCTCTCAGCCCCACCTACCTCACAGGGTGTCTGTTGTGGGGAGGGGATGGGAAAGGAGTTTGTAAGCCACTCTGAGACTCCTTTGGGTAGTGAAGGGCGGGGTATAAATCCAATCTCTTCTTCTCTTTTTCTTCTTTCAGAATCTCACAGCAAGCTGAACTGCGGAGGGATTAGGGTTCAGAAATGCCTATCTAGGGCCCCGGTCACACGGGCCAGTTAACGCGGGGGGGAGGCGTGGCTATTTGCGGCACCGCAATTTAACGTGCCATAACGCGATCCCCCGCGTCGGCGGCATGCCACGGTTCCTTCCCTCCGTGTCAACAAGGGGCCGGAGGGAAAAGCGGCGCGCCGGCGCGATCACACCAACGCATTCTGGAGGCAGCTTGTGGCAAACTGGTTGCTACTACCCTCTACCAGGTATTTTCTAATTCCGCATTTTCGGCGGTATGCCACGGGTTGGCCACGGGTGCGCTCCACTTGCCAGATGTTGCGGTGTGATCGTGCCTGGAAAATCCGCCATTCTATCATGGCTCTCCCGTGGTAAACTCGCCGTGTGAACAGGGCCTAGAACTGCTTGTCAGATAAAAATGTTATGTGAATTAAGGATGTTGGCTATCATGGTTAGGGTAAGATTTCTGTGTAGATTCAAGTTTTTTTCAAGTTTCTATTGGTTTAATACTTAATGCGTTCTGTGATTGTCTTTTAGCTGTGAAAGAAGACAAGTGCTATTTTCACAGGCTAAGCAGTTACGAGGTTTCTCCTTCTGTGGGATATTTTCACAAAGTGCTCCTCCAACTCAGTCTCTTTCCACACTCTGAACACTGAAAAAGTTCCCTCCCTCCATATGGGTTCTCTGATGTGACTGAAGAAGGCCAGTCTGTCTGAATCTTTTCCAACATGCTGAGCACTGAAAAGTTTTCTCCTGTGTTTGGGTTCTCTGGTGCTGCTGAAGATTGCTACTCAACCTGAATTTCTTTCCACATTTTGTTTATTTAAAAGGTTTCTCATCTGTGTGGGTGATCCAATGTTCTTGAAGAAGGCCACTCTGACAATCTCTGACGATTCAAAAGGTTCGTCCCCCCCATATGGGCTTTTATGCAGTTGAAGACTGCCACTGTGACTGAATATCTTTCCACACGGTGAGTATTCAAAAGTTTTGTCTCCTGTGTGGGTATTTTGAAGGTTTTTTTTATAGTGCCATTGTGCCCAAATGTCTTTCCGCACTATGAGCATTCAAAACATTTGTCCCCTGTGTGTTTTTTGATGCTGTTGCAGTGTGCCACTTTGGCTGAATCTCTTTCCACACAATGAGCATTCAAAAGGTTTCTCCCCTGTATGAGTTCTGTGATGCCGTTGAAGAGTAGAATTGTCAATGAATCTCTTTCCACACACTAAGCATTCAAAAGGTTTCTCCCCTGTGTGGGTTCTTTTATGCAGCTGAAGAGTACTACTCTGACAGAATCTCTTCCCACACTGTGAGCATTCAAAAGGTTTCACCCCTGTGTGGATTCTCTTATGTTCTTTAAGATGGCTACCCCAACTGAATCTCTTTCCACACTCTGAGCATTCAAAAGGTTTCTCCCCTGTGTGAGTTCTTAGATGATATTGAAGACTGCCACTCTGACTGAATCTCTTCCCACAATGTGAGCATTCAAAAGGCTTCTCCCCTGTGTGTATTCTTTGATGATATTGAAGATAGCGACTCATACTGAATCTCTTTCCACAGTCTGGGCATTCAAAAGGTTTCTCCCTTGTATGGGTTATTTTATGCTCTTGAAGACTGCTACTCTGACTGAATCTCTTTCCACATTCTGAACATTCAAAAGGTCTGTCCCCTGTGTGGGATCTTTGATGATACTGAAGTCTGACACTCTGAATAAATCTCTTTCCACACTCTGAGCATTCAAACGGTTTCTCCCCTGTGTGGGTTCTTTCATGATACTGAAGACTACTACTCCCACTGAATCTCTTTCCACACTCTGAGCATTCAAACGGTTTCTCCCCTGTGTGGGTTCTTTCATGGTACTGAAGACTACTACTCCCGCTGCATCTCTTTCCACACTCTGAGCATTCAAATGGTTTATCTCCTGTGTGGGTTCTTTGATGATATTGAAGGTAACGAATTGTACTGAAGCTCTTCCCACACTCTGCGCATTCAAAAGGTTTTTCCCTTGTATGGGTTCTTTTATGCTCTTGAAGATGTCTACTCTGATTGAATCTCTTTCCACACTCTGAGCATTCAAAAGGTTTCTCCCCTGTGTGGGTTCTTTTATGATCTTGAAGATGGCTACTTTGACTGAATCTCTTTCCACATTGTGAACATTCAAAAGGTTTCTCCCCTGTGTGGGTTCTTTGATGATATTTTAAATGGCTATGTGTAGTGAATCTCTTTTGACAATCTGAGCATTCAAACGGTTTCTCCCCTGTGTGGATTCTTTTATGTACTTGAAGATTGCCACTCTGACTGAATCTCTTTCCACACTCTGAGCACTCAAAAGGTTTCTCCCTTGTGTGGGTGCTTTTATGCTCTTGAAGTTGGCTACTCTGACTGAATCTCTTTCCACACTCTGAATATTCAAAAGGTTTGTCCCCTGTGTGGATTCTTCTATGCTTTTGAAGATTGCTGCTCTGACTGAATTTCTTTCTACACTCTGAGCATTCAAAAGCTTTCTCTCCTCTTTTTATTCTTCGGTTTACAAGAAGCTGTGGTCTATATTTGAAGTACTTTCCACAATGAATGGATCTACTTGTCTTCATTATGTTGTGCTTTGGAAAATGTACACTACACTTTCTTCCATCTGTCTTCTGAACCAAATGGCTGTCTTTCTTTCCCTTAGAGCTAATTTGATTCCAGAAGTTTCCTTTCAAGTCTTCATTATTAACTGTATCTGGCAATTGCAGATGAAGTTCCTCACCCTCCTCATTCTCCTGATCGTCCTCTGCTGGAATAAAGAGAGAGATAGCATTAGCACCTGGGAGGGCAGGTAAGGTCCAAAGGCTGCAACAGAAAAAGATTGATGGCCCTTTCGGCCTCTTCCAGCTTGGCTGACCTTAAAATTCCCCCCACCTTTCCCCAGAATATCTAGGATTTCAGGATACTACAGACTTTCAAGAGCCACAGCTGAGATCTTGCCAAGAAGGAGCTTCCAAACCTCCAGATTCCAGGCCCCAGAAGGCCTGTATTGCCCAGTTGGCTTTATAATGCTAGCAAACTAAGGCTGCTATCACACACAGAATTAGCCGCGCCATAGGGGTGAATGCCGGGCAGATTTTAAGGGTGCGATCAGACGCGAACATCTGGGAAGCGTCCCGCATCCATTGAAAACCCGTTTCGCTCCACCACAGAAGTGGAGTAAAAAGACACTAGGGAACATAAGAACATAAGAGACGCCAATGTTGGATCAGGCCAAAGGCCCATCCAGTCCAACACTCTGTGTCACACAGTGGCCAGAAATACCAGTGCCATAAGGAGGTCCAGCAGTGGGGCCAGGACACGAGAAGCCCTCCCACCGTTGACCCCCCCCCCAAGCACCAATAATACAGAGCATCACTTGCCCCAGACTGAGAGTTCCTAAGAACATAAGAGAAGCCAATGTTGGATCAGGCCAATGGCCCGTCCACTCCAACACTCTGTCACACAGTGGCCAAGAATACCAGGTGCCATCAGGAGGTCCAGCAGTGGGGCCAGGACACTAGAAGCCCTCCCACTGTTGACCCCCCCCCAAGCACCAAGAATACAGAGCATCACTTGCCCCAGACCGAGAGTTCCTAAGAACATAAGAGAAGCCAATGTTGGATCAGGCCAATGGCCCGTCCACTCCAACACTCTGTCACATAGTGGCCAAGAATACCAGGTGCCATCAGGAGGTCCACCAGTGGGGCCAGGACACTAGAAGCCCTCCCACTGTTGACCCCCCCCCCAAGCACCAAGAATACAGAGCATCACTTGCCCCAGACTGAGAGTTCCTAAGAACATAAGAGAAGCCAATGTTGGATCAGGCCAGTGGTCCATCCAGACCAACACTCTGTCACACAGTGGCCAGAAATACCAGGTGCCATCAGGAGGTCCAGCAGTGGGGCCAGGA